AGGCGGTGGGGTCCCCCGCCTCTGCGGCTTTGCTCCGGGGCAAAGGAGTAAAGCCGCACGGGCAGTGGGGTCCTGCCGCCTGTGCGGCTTTGCTCGGGTCTCCCTGCTGTGCTGGGGAGTCCCCCCCCAGCACACCAGGGAGACCCGGAGCAGCTTTTCTCGCCCCGGAGGACGCGGTGGCGGGACCGCTGCGCTCTGGGCGGTCCCGCCGCCCGCGAGTTCCGGGGCGAGAAAAGCCCCATTCGTAAGTGCAGATCCGACATAAGACGGATCCGCGTAAGTCGGGGGACTGCCTGTATAGTGTAGTAGAAAAGCATATTCTCTAGCGATATCATTCTTTCTGAACCTAAATGAAAAATAATAATAAAAAGGTGCTTTTGCTTTGTTATTTTACTCTGTCTGTTGTATTTGTTCTATTTGGCCTGTTCTGGGATGCCTCCGAGATTGATTATGAAAGGACAGCCTTAAATTAATGCACACTTGAGTTTGCACTGAGGCCAGGGCTGTGGCAGAGAATCAGGAATCCATAATATATACTCTAATGTCACCTTCCCAATCTCTCACACCCTTAACTCAAAGAGCACAGCAGAGAATCTGCTATGTATACTTCAACAAATTTAATAAATGTAACACCGGAGTGTATAATGTAATGACCCAACAGTATTATCTAAATTTCTTGGGTATTTTATCAGTTGTTTATAATAATCCCAGTAATCTTCAAAATTGAATCTGATGTTTATTGAATTGTTTATGCTCCTACACACTGAAAAGGTGATATGCTATTGTAAAGAGTTGCTTGTGAGTTCCAAACCGGTATCATTGATTTTTCTTATGATCCATTGAAGAAAAATGAGCACATGGAATTTGTTATAAAAATATTTTTAGAAAATTTAGTGATACATACAAACCATTTTTTTAAATTGTCAAATGTAAGGCCATTCAACTTTTTACATACACTATGTACTTGACTCTTTTTCATCCATTACTAGTATGATTCTGATTACTTTAATTTTGATGTTGTCTGCTTTTTTGTGTGTTTCAGGATGTGAATGAAGATCCAGGAGAGGATGTTGCTCTTCTTTCAGTCAGTTTTGAGGATACAGAAGCTGCTCAAGTTTTTCCCAAGCTATATCTGTCCCCGCGTATTGAACAGTAAGTAAAATAGTTGTAGGATATTCTGGTTCTTCTGAGAACTTTTAATTTTCATGCTGATTGTTTTGAAGGAATTCTTGGTACTCCATAAAAACTCTTTGGCTTTTAATTGACAAAGCCATGTCAGTGATTACTATAAATTGGCTTTGACTAGGAGGGAACAATTCAGTTAATCTTGCCAGTCCCATTTTTATGTGCCCATCACTTACAGATCTGAGCAACCATTGGCTAGACTAATGGGGGTCCACAGATCCCTGAAAATCAACCTACATTTTCCTGAAGTGACTCATACTGGAAGTGACATCAGGTTCATCTTAGCAATCAGATTTCCCCAAGGGAGGGGAAAGCTTTGTTTTTTAAGATTGTGTTTATGTATTTATGTATGTGGAGGTGTGCCTGTGTGTGATTGATACATATTCCCTGAAGGGGAAATGTTTGTGCAACAGAAAAAGAGTTAAACAGTTTTGAATGAATGTTTATTAGCAGAGCTGTAAAGATATATTTGTTAAACTGTGGACAGGAATTTGCCATCAGTAAGATGTTTGTCTAGGGTGTGTCAGAATATTTTATTTTAAGGTTGTTGTACAACACAGTTGGCACACAGACTATCTAATAAACTAATTTTTACTCCTAAAATGGTAGGGTCAGAGGGAAAAATTTATCTGCTTCCATTAGATTTTGCTTCTTCCATTTTTGGAATTAACAATGTCCCAATGTTCCCCCTCCCCTTCAGTGCTTCAGTCTTGAAATATCTGCCTGAAAGTTTCATCAAAAGCAGTTCAGACTTACAAGTGACTTTTGCTTAGAGATAAGTTGGAAGTTCTTGTAGTGCAGGTCCTTATTTTGTATTTTAAAAGAGCTCTAGTTGTGCCCCCTTGGTCTTGTGCTTTTTGGTGGATTTTTAGTCTGCCTCAGAGGCTTGTGGTGAGCCTCCCACTACCTCTTGTTTCTCTCAGAGGCAAGGGTTTCCCACTTCATGAGCCATTTTAATCATAGGCCAGACACAAACGTGGAGGGGAAAACCCTTCCACAATCTAAAGGTCCCCTTTTCCCTGGTGGTGGCCCACTGGTTATGGGGAGGGTTGGGGGGAACCCAGTTCCACCCACATATTCCAGGTTCTGGACCAAGGTTCTAGATGGCAGCCACTAGTGGTGCTCTTGCCCTTATCCCCGCAGAATAGCAGCCTTTCCCTGGGCCACTTCCCCAATCATTCCTTCAGTACCTTTTCCCTGGTGTCTTGGAGAAAACCTCTCAAGCTTGCCACTCTGTAATTTTGCCTGCACTCTGTGCTTCCTCCTCTCCAGTCCGTCCCTCTTCTCCTTGCCCTGAGGAGAGGCCTTTTATAGTGGACCAGCAGGCCTTAACTTCCATCAGGCCAGTGGTCACCAACCAGTAGATCGGGATCTACTGGTCAATCTTGGAGCCTCTGACAGGTGATCCTGACTGGTTTGGCTGGGAGACTATCAAGCGCAGGCACTTCAGCTGCCCCTCCCTGTACTGCCATTCTGCTCCTGCCCAGAGCCTTAGAGGTGCCCCTGGAAGCTTCCTGCTTGTTGTTCAGGGTGGGGGAGACAGAAGCAGGGGGGCACTGATGTCTCTCTGTCCCCTTCTCCTATACCCCATATTCACAGAGTGAGGAGGGCAGGGCCTCAGCAAATGGGTAGAGCAGGCATATTTGGGTTTGAGGAAGATCCTGGACTGACTTAAATTCAAAAAGTGATCTTGTGCTTAAAAAGGTTAGAGACCCCTTCACTAAGCTGAAGTTGCAGGACAGCTCTTAATGAGACTCAGGTTCTCACCTGTCTTGGTTGCTGAGCAGCAGTACCTGACAGCCTATTCAGGGAACAGGAACCTACTCATCCAACTACCCGTGTACCTGTCCTCTACCAAACTTCTGCAGTCCGCTGCCTTTGATCTGCTACAGTATGGACCTGACAAATGAACATTTCCCAAAGGAAAAGCTTCCTAGTTTGTGATCTTGAAGAAATCTTCAAAGATTCATAATAATGTCCTTACAAAGGAAAATTGAATGGTAGAAGGAGTCTGGTTGCCTAAATATAACTTGAGTCTAGAGTGCTGAATAAGGAGCCAAAAGGTAGCGTGGAAGTGTTTGATATTAATATACTTTAAAAGGAGATCTTAAAGTTCATCTTCTTTTGTTTTACTTTGTTAAGCATTTTATTTGATTACTTATATTATTACACAGAAGTAACTACATTAGACTTTGCAATTACATAGACGTCAAGTTAAGCTAACATTAATTCAATGATGCTTTTATTTTTCTGGTCAGTACTGATGTGACATTCCTCTTAACTGCTGAAATCATTCTTAAGTGGAGTAGAAGAGATCAAAAAGTATTCACTACCATAATTTTAGAATAGCTCTCTAATAATGTATTAAGTTTGAGAAAGGGCATGACAATCTGATATTTAAACCAAAAGGGCATTGATGGATAAGCTGAATGACCAAAGAGATGGGGTAAAACATCCAAGATTAGTTTTGAGATAATCATATGGTTTACAAGATATTAGGGAAGAAAAATCTATAGAAAATGTATAATATATTGTTTCTTTTAAGTTTTCAAGTCTTTTTAGAAACTAGTTTTATGTTAGAAAAGCTTTATGGTCTCTCCAACATTACTTATGGTCATATGATTTCATTAGTGGCTGATTTTAAATGCATCTCATTTTCCCTGATGAGCTCTGTGATGATGAAAAGGTTAGCTCAGATACACATAATTACAGTAAAAAGTTACATGTAGTTATATTATTTTAAGTAATTGATTACATTAACTGATTTATGTTTTAATTAATGCTGAATTTAACTGATTGTATCATTAAATACATTTAATGTAATAAAAGTTGGGCCTATTTAGTTTTCTATACACTGTTGTACTTAGTTACAGTGTTCCACAAGTGTGTTGTGAGACTTTACTGATTAATTTGTTTAAGTTGTTTGTTGCCCTTAGATGGGAGATTCAAACTGGTAATATTAATAATAGTATTGCTGGCACATTTTTGGTCAGAATAATACAGATATGGTCATTCATTTTACTTGGTAATTTTATTGTTACTACTTTGAATGTAAGTGATGAATTTCCATAAATTTCGTCTCTGTGGGTAGGGAAGTAATAATGCAGAAAATCTGCAGGTGGAAGGGGATAAGAAGTAAGTATCTTATCATCCCTTTCCCCATCCACATTTGCATTGCTCCTACTAATCTTCTCTAGCAATAATGCGGAGTTCTAGATCTAGGAGATCATATGGGAAAATGGAACACCATATGGGACTGGAACAAGGCTTCCCCCACTCTCAACGGCTATAGCTGCTCATCTGAGCCCTGCCCCCTCCTTCACACAAGGCTGGTGCTGGCCATCCCCCTGCCATGTTCTTCCATATCCTGCTTTTTTGACTAAAGTGGGCATTTGCCCCATATGCCAAAGAAGCAGAGATGGCAGCATGGGGCTTACAAAAAGGACTGTCCCAGCCCAAATGGGAATTATGGTAGCCCTAGTTCTACTTCATACAGACAGAGGGCATGTTGAGGAAACAGCCTCTCAATTCAGCATGTTTCCTTTTCAGTGTAATTGTATCTATTTACCTCTGTGTGTGGACACTCTTGTTGGGGAATGGAGTAACTCAGGAACTGCTGTAGCACTTTAAATTAACACTCTGCCATAATCTCTGTTACTTTTCAATTATAGGCAAGTCCTTAGTAACTTTTACTCCCCCTGAGCAGGAGTAGCTCTTCAGCTCCTTCCACAGCATGACAAAAGCATAAGTACTCAGCTCAGGGATGGGCAGTAATTTTTAATGGGTTGAGCCACTCCAAGATTTTGGAAAAACTTTAAAAACAACAAATAGTTTAGTAGCACCTTAAAGACTAACAAATCATGTAGATGGTATCATGAGCTTTTGTGGGCACAACCTACTTGTTCAGATGACTGGAGTATTGAAAGTCCATATCCAAGAATAAATAAGGGAAGGGGGAGGGGAAGGAAAAGAGGAAGGGGGAAAATGGGGCGAGAAAAAAGACAGTGAATAGATTGTTCAAGTTACAAGAGGCTGATAAGAACAATTAGCACCTCCATTGTTTGATCGCTTGGTTAAGTCATTAGGACTATCTTCCACATCCTGGGGGCGAGTTCAAATGTTCACCCCTGGTTTTTTAGGGATAAAAATCATTTGATGGTGTCAGTGATCCCCCCAAAACCTGTGTATTATGATTCTGGGGGGGAAGTTTTTTGTAACCAGTGCCTGTAGATGCAAGATTTTTAAGCTCTCTTGCAGACCTTCACCTTCTGCACTTGGAGTGCCAGAGTGGGAAACTGTCCTGCCAATATTCATTTGCAATAAATTAGACTTTCAAATAAACTATGCAATAAATTATGCTCTCTGTAATTTTTATTCTCTTCTCTTGTTTGTTTTTTTCTTTTTTTGAGGTAGATCTCTTCTCAGCATGTTTTCCTGCCCTTTAATTTAGGTTGCTGAATCTGTTTTCATTCTAACAATATCTATTCTTGTAATTTAGAAATTTCATGACCAGGTTGTGAATATTGTCTATTGAACTGGTCTTTCTTGCAAAGTTAAATTTGAGTTCTCTGACGTCCCATAAAATGGTCCTGACAGAGATTTTGACACAGTTAAGATATCATATAAGCTACACTTCCATTGTTTGAAACCTGAAGCATTTAACCAGCAATATTTACTTATTTGACATTTTTTTCAAAATTACAAAAAGCCTCAAGAAACCCAGAAGATTATATTAATGTCCTGAGGTCATAACATATTACCTTGTGTTGTACACTGCCACAAGTTTCCTGACTCTGCTAAAGATTATAATTGAATATACCAAAACTTTGGAAACAAATTAGCAAAACAGTTTGTATGTGGCAGGCTTTGAGGACAGAGAATAGCAATTTGGGGAAGCATTTTGGGGAAATTATCAACATTTGCAGAAATAGAACAATGTTACAAAATGCCCCTTTCCTAGATAATTG